AGAATGAGTAAAACAACTTCAGGTGTTATGCAGAGCACTTAATTTTCACAGCATTTCATGACCAAAATACTTCGGACACATTTGTGTCCCCTACCTGTATAGACAAGATAAATAAGTTACATACACTAAAATATACATTCAAAAAATAAAGTATATATTCAAGCCGACTAACTTGGGTAGTAATTCCCCTGGCAATTAACTCATCTGCATGACAGAGGGTATCTTTTATAAACTTTTTCAGATAAACTTGGTTTTAATTCTGTTGCATTCAGGGACATTCAGGGAAGCTTACTGATGGGTCATGGCACATGGTTTCTATACGCCAGTCTTTGTAAGCAGTGTGCATAATTCTGCCCAGGAAAAAAACAAACAGCAAAACAGGCAAAAAAAACCCCCAAAGCCCACATTCTAAATAGCAAAAACACCTGAGGAATGACTACCAAAACATATACGCTGCAAAATTTAAATCCTGAGTAAAAGCTGTTTTTTTGAAAAGACAAGACTGAATGAAGAAGAATAGCAAAGTGGATTATTGGTAGATGGATCAAGAGCTTGGTAGTGAATAAATAATATCAGGAAAGATCACCTATGAAAGGCCATGAAAGTAAAGATGAATAATTTGCTTGGTGCAATAAAAGTTACCACTGGGCAAATAAGCTAAGCAGGTGCATTCTGAAGAGCTATGATGGGACTATAGCACATGTTCAGGAGGCTACAGAAAAAAAAATGATGACAGTTTAGTGAGATTTAGCTACATGGAAAGACTGTATCATAATGCATCTTAATTTTATCATGTAAGAAAACCAAGAAAAATTCAGACCCAGGCTGATCAAAGTATTCTTCTTTTATGGGTATGGGTATGAGTCACACAAAAAAACCGCAAATAATTCTATTGTGACAGGTCAATGGATGAATTAGAGAAAAGAAAACAGTAAGATCTGCCTTTAACCATGAACTGTTAAACATGATATCTTTATCTATTTATTACCCACAATGACATGGATATAATGGTTAAGACACCTAAACTTTGATGTCTGCCTCATCAGTGTCTACACTTGAGCCCATCCTTGTTACACTCAGAGGAAACTTATTAATATAATTAATGAACCTTAACAAAGCAGATGCTTGGATTCAGTCAGATGAATCACCCCTGTGATGGGTTGATTCTAGCCAGCAGTTAAGTACCCATCCAGCCACTCACTCCTCCTCAAAGGATGCAGGAGAGAATCAGAAAAGCACAAGTGAGAAAACTTGTCAGTCAAGATCGACAACTAAATAAGAGAATGAAAAAAAAGGAAAAAATAGTAATGTAAATGCAGTCATTCACCACCTCTCACAAGCACAAAATCACAGAATAAACTAAGTTTGGAAGGGATCTATAAAGATCATTGAGTCCAACTCCTGGCCCTGCCCAGGACACCCCAAGAGTCACATCATGTGGCTGAGAGCATTGTCCAAATGCTTCTTGAACTCGACCCGGCTGGTGCTGTGACCAGTTCCCTGGGGAGCCTTTTCCTGTGCCCAGCAACCCTCTGGGTAAAGAACCTTTTCTGATATGCACCCTAAACCCCTCCTGACTCAGTTTCCTCAACTCCTGTCCCTGGTCACCAAGAGAATAGATCAGTGCATGCCTTTCCACCTCCTCTCAAAGCATGTTGAGGTTTCCCTTCCATCTCCTCTTCTCCAGGCTGAACAAACTAAGTGACCTCTGCTGCTCCTCATCTGGCTTCCCCTCAAGGCCCTTCATCATCCTCCTTACCCTCCTTTGGATGCTCTCTAATAACTTAATGTTCATTAACTCCCATCAACTAAGTCTTCATTGACCAGTGAAGAACGCAGAAACAACTTGCTGAGAACTACTTACCTGCACAGCAGACCCTTTGTTTTATCAGCATGATTTCAATTTGGAAAGGAAAAAGAAGGTTAGGCACTTATGGGACATCTACACGGATCTAGCAGTTGAATTTGTTTGCAAAGATGAGGGATACAAAATTAAATGGAAAGACTCTTCATAGAATGACTGTGGATGTGGTATTAAAATTTTTAAAGGGAAAGGGAAGAGGACAATGAATCCAACAAGAAAGTTAGGGATTTATTTGTTAATTTAGAGACATATTGCTCTGGTCTATCAATAACAGAGTTTTGAGAAGTTTTTGAGACAAATTATACAAATTATGTTGTGATTACCACAATATAAAAGCTCAAATTTCTTAACTTCCTATTACAGTGTATAGCAAACTTCAAGACTGCATCATGATGTTCATTTTAGATTTAAAGATTATTTTTTCAACCTTAAGTATCAAAGTAAGAATAAGGATTCTTTGTCAGCATTATTAAATTATACTTGGAACTAATATTAAATAGCTGGAACAGATGAAGCCTGATTTCTTTTACTAGTTTTGACTTGTGGCTGGCTGACTTTGCACTCTGAGACTGTGCAAGTCCAGCTGGACCTTTGTGCCAATTGGTGTATTTGAAAAGGCTTTTTTTTTTTTTTTGTTAGAATTTGTAGAGTCTTTTTTCCTATGTGATATTTTCATAAAATTTTTAGAAACATAATTATATTTGACATTTCCTTCTCCATATTCTGTAGAAGTAGATAAAATACTCTAAAACTAGGGGACACATACAGAGAAAATAAAAGTATGGTCTCATAAGGTAAAGATCCCTGAATTTTGGGACTTCTGAATTAATATTTATTTATTATTTTTAGCAGACAATGAAACAACTACAGGAACATTTTCAGAACTACTGCTTGGTTTCAGCAATGACTCTTTCATCACAAATGCCCAGCAGTACATTATGGTAATCCCATGCCTTCACTTTCCATCTTGTTACACCCCTCAGTCTCCTTTTCCCCAGCCCAGTTTTGTTGCTTTCACTACAGCACAGTAAGGACAGTGACTTTCATATTTTCTTCCTTACAATGCAAAGGGAAATCAGCAATTTTATCTAAAATTCAGATTAGAAGTGGGAACACAAACACCTTACATGAGATCAGAGCAGTTGCCAACCTGAATAGTCTGAATATGCTCAATACCAGATGAGTAAGAAATCCCACAGAAGGAAATTGTGAAAAACACAGCTCATTTGCAAGGCCTTTATAATTATTCTCAAGCTACTGGACTGCTCTCCACCCCGGAGTTTGCAGTTTTCATCACTCAGAAAACTGTTACATATGAATAAAACTGTACATTTTTCCAAATATTTCCATTACTCAGGTTTATTTCCTTATACTAGGATTTGCCTAAACCTGTTGCTGAGGTTGACACTATGCTCAACAAATCAATTATCACCAATTACCTTTTTTTCCTACTATTATTAGAACTTCTGCCTTGCATTGCATTACAAAATTTCTTGGTTTATCTTGTGGGTGGAAGAAAACAGTCACAATAAGACCTCCGAAAATTTGGGGTTTTTTGGCTTTGTGCTATGTAACAAATGGAACTTCTTTTCATCCATAAGTCTTCCTGTGAAAATATTCGGATAGTGCTGGTAACTGGAATGCTTACAGCACTAGGGAAAGAGCTTATATTTGCATTGAAATCAAAGCACCACAAAGATGATGAAATGCTTTTGTCTCTAACTCTTTTCCTATTTCATCCCCTAAAATCATTTCAAAACCTTGAGAAGTAGCAAGCAGAGAAAGAAAAAACAGATCAGGAATTTCAAAGTATTTATTTTTGAACAGCATAAAGATAAAATTGTTTCTAGAGTACTTATAAATAAACCAAAAAACACAAACCTGTATTTTCTGTCTTCACAGATTTATCTGTTACAGTAAACAACTTCTTGGTACAAACTTTAAAATCCTGGCTAAAACTCCCAGGACTGCAGAAATATGTTTAAGGTAGCATTTTTGATGAATTTCAACATACTGTTATTAGCAGCATTTTAATTACAATTGTTGTATGCACACATACCAGTGAAATTAGATACATTGCAGAGTTACAGTATTAAGGTTTCTAAAGTTAAATCATGCCAATGCAGATGTTCCTAATTACTTTAAAAGCACAAATACTTATAGAAATCAGTTGTTTCAAGTTGCAGCATAATTCAATTAAAGGAGTGTTTAACAACATGAATGATAGTTAAGCACACTTCATATGGAAGACTGTTAGGAAACAATAGATATCATTCACATGAAGGAAGGAGTTAAAGTCCATCTGAGATAAGGAGCTGTGATTTGTCTGAGACAAATATAAGAAATTATCATACGAAGGTGACACTATCAGAGAGACATCAAAAACTGACAAAAGCATTTATTTCCTCACAGCAATCACTTTACTAGGCAAGATGATTGGAACTTAAAGTTTCTGCAGGTCATTGTGCAGGGTTTGGGAAGCTTTTCCTTTTTTCTGCCTTTTTTTTCTTTTTAGCTGTAAAATGGAGTCTAGCTCCACCCCTGCTTTGTATTGCTGCTTGAAAAGAGGTGTGGTAGGTAAGGCAATACAGCATTAAATCAGCACACAAGCCATGGATACCACAGATCGTCTCCTTGGATAATGTCTCTGGCAGGAATACTCTTTAGGCACAGAAAGTTGTGACCTCTTGCTGTGGTGTTTTGGAATTTTACAGGTATTAGTATCACACGTGTTTATTCCACAACAGCTTATTTTATAGTGCAATTATCATTGAATTATATTTTGTTTTCCATGTAAAATGGAGAAAAAGATAGTATTAAAAACATTGTATATAATATAATAAAACATTATAAATAAAACATTAACATTATATATAAAACATGATAAAACATTGTATATAATATATATCCTGTGTGAAGAGAGTTACTGCTCTCTCACCTTCCATATTCAATGTTTGAAAAAATGTCAAAGGATAAATAGTAAAGTTACACAGAAATTAACTGAATTCTTTCCACATTTACACATCCACTCTAAAAATTAGTTAAGAGTATATATTTTTCCTTGTATTTTTATTTAGATTCAATCAACATTCAATATGACCAGACAAAATATTAATTTGAAATGAGTTAACTGTACCTTGAGTCACCTGTTGGATGGCTAGCATCATCCCAGAAACAGTATCAGGAACCAAATTTTCCTTCCAGTTGTAGACAGGCACCCATGTCAAGATAGGCAGCCTCCTCATACACCAGGCTTTGATATCTTCTAAGCGAACAGCCTGGATCTTCCTCCAGACTGTACTTCTCTTCCTTTTTGCCCCTGTCATCATTCCTACCCCACAAAAGCAGTGCCTCTGTTAGAGGAGTGCACTGTTGAGGAATCACCCTGATCTCTGCCAGTGTCCAGTTTTCTTCTGAGATTTTTCAGTTCCAAACTGCAAAGAAAAAAAGATGAACAGAAGCACTTAAAATTTCTGCAGCTGTTCTGTAACTACACTCAATGAAAACACTTATTAAGTGCTTCAATCATATAAACAGCTACATTAAACGCAAGAACTGTCTACAGAAAAAGATCATATTTTCTGCTGTTTGCAAAAATTTGATCTAGTCTCAAGTTAGTTTGTGATTCTTTCCAGTAACTTCCCGCTTTATATCCCTGTAATGCTCGTGCTTTTGGCCTCGTTCCAGTGGCAAAATGAGGTATTACTGGGTGTGTGTGTGATATAGGCTGGGCTATGCTAATCTGAGCAAGAAGTGCCCAGCAGAGCAGGCATCTCCCTGCCAAGCCTGGGAGAGCAGCCTGGTCCCTCCTGGGGGAGCTTTCCTGGCCACAGGCGGGAGGCATCGAGACCTCAGTAAAGATCGTGCTAGAAGACTTGTCTTACTCCATCAGCATTTTGTCTTCTAAATGACACAAAAAGCTTGTTTATGTAGCAAATGCAGAACATCAGGTAGCAATAAGCCCTACCAGAAACATACACAGAATCTCTCTGTGGGCTGAAAACTCAAACTTCAGAGTAACAAGCTCAAAGTGCAGCAAGGGACTGCAAGGTATCAGCTTCACATGGGCTGTGCCAAAAATTCTTGTGACAATCATTCTTGTTCAAAGCTAGTCCTTTCTGCTCTTGGCTGTCCACTCCACAAAGGCTCTCTCAGCACAGGCTGTTCACCCAGTAACATTTGTTCTTGTAATAATGTCATGCACCTTGTGTACGATACAAAGTGCTCAGACACAAAGTGATAAGGACATAGAGGAGCTTTAAATGTTCAGGCATTTAAATGCCTTGACTGTTATGGAGCAAGGACACAGTAAGCTTTCCTCTAAGTTTTCTGTATCTCTGGATGGCAAAGAAATTTAAGTTGAAATGCAAGATCCATTATATGGGGGAAGTGTCTTCCCAATCACTGTTCTGTAGTAAGCAATAAAAATCAAATTTTATATTTTTTAAATATTTCCTTTTTAAAAAATAGAAATTAATTTACATTTTATTGTTTAAATTAAGGCAAAAAAACCCTGAAGCATTTTCTACCCAAAACAATTTTAGAAAAATGAGACTGCTTCCAAATACAACAGGTAGACTGGCACAAAGACAAATGCATCAAGTCATTCTGCTGAGTGACATTCAGTTGATGTCCACAACTGTGTCCCGTAGAATTGCAAAGATAAAAAGGAAAAAGGAAGAGAAAGAAAGAATTTCTTGGCATGAGACAGACTCTTACTTTTTACTATTCCTGGCATAGTTACTCTTTGCCCTGCCCACCCATTAACAACATACACTTTTTAAAGACAGGTAATCTTACTTCTGTTCATTTCAATAAACCTCTAAGCATTAATTATTTTTTATTTATTCTTTTTGTGGTTTGTGTTTTTTGTTTTCTTTGTTTTTTTTTAACTTGAAAGTGCAGTTCAAGGATTTCATAATTGAGGCATTTATGCCTGCCAAGTTTTCACAATACAAATATTTTCCTTTCAATAGTTTGAAGTGGACAGGAATCCACTATGTGAGCTACAATGAGAGCTACTCAGCAGTCAGGTGCTGCTTAGTTTTGATGAAATGTTCAGTATCTCTAACTATAACAGTATTTATCATGAAATAAAAATCAAAATACATTTCTACACATAAATATGCATGTGCAAAAATATCCCCAAATATATGTACTTGTGTAAAAGAACCAATGAGCCTAGCCTGTTTTTTTTTTTATTATTGTTTGCTAAAAGCTCTGGATATTCTGAAACAGGCAAAAAAACCCACAGTGGGAAACCAAAGAATCATGGCTAAACACACAAGAACATATTCTCCAGTCCTCAAAGTTCTTGCACCAAAATGCTGAAGATGTTTGAGCAGGTCCATAATTGAGCTTTTCCCACCTCCTAATTGCAGAGTCAGTTAAACTGGACAAGTTTACCTCATTCCCAGATTAATATCTGAACACCTAGGATTTCCATTATCAACAGATATTATCCCCTACCAATAAGAGAGGATGGTATCTCTCTCTAAGTGTGTGCATGCATGAGTTCAAACATCCTACAGCTGTTGTGGAATTTTTGTGGAAATTTTGTTTAACCCCAACAAGAATTTTGATAAGTAAAAAACTGCATTATCCATAAATCTGAAGTTGATAATACTATCACTATTGAAATATATTCTTCATTGTAACTCAAATAAATAAATAATCCTAGTTACCTGTGACACAAAGCAACAGTTACAGACCCCCAGAGAAATCAACACTTTTAAGAGAAAACTGAAGTATAGGTATGTATAACAAGCCTGTACTTCACTACAAAATATTACAGCCTTTGAACCTTAAAGAAACATAAAATCCCCTCCACTTTCCTAGAACACCTCAGTATCCTAATGGAAATACGTTGTATCAGACACACAATGTTTGAACTCCTTTCCATCAGCTGTTATAAATCTTCAGTCTATACACTCCCAGACTACACAGGCTTTTCCTAGGCTGAATTGTTTCATGATGTACCTGAGCTATCAGGATTCTGAGACCCTCTCTTGCTCTGAAACAAGTGAAAAAAAATTCATTTTCTGGAACACCAAAGGATAAGCACGAGAAACTTTTGGTTTTATACATTTAAGTCAGTGTATTTTCATATATTTTTGTAATATTAGATGCTTCACAATATTAGCTTTTTTGATAATCTCATATGAGTAAAATCTTTCTTCAAGTGATTACCATAGTAGTTTTTGTTTGCTCTGAAAAAGCATAAAAATTTAATTCTAGCAGGATATTTATGTACAATGCTAAAAAGATAATTACCATAAGTCAAAAATTAGAATTCAGATAGTATATAGAAGGAGATATTTATGGCATCATGAATCAGATATGGTGGGCTTTAAAATCCTGATTTGCAAAAAGTTCCAAAAATAAATGGGGTAACCTCAGCTCCTCTAACATTTACATACATGGGAAGTTTACATACATTGGTGGATATATGAAGAAAAGGGGTTTGATTCTCTAGCTCTGGCCTCAAGGGATTAAAAAAAAAGTAATTTGACACCTTACTCCAATTTAGACCCCAAAAGGAAAAAATTGTGGTAAACGCTGACAGAGAAGCCCTAAACATCACTTCATATGGAAGCAGGAAAATCTTTGGAGGAAATCTTTGGATTCTTGCATGAGAACTGCCTTTAGATGTCACATAAACTGGCAGACAAGTTCAAAAACTGTACTTATGTGTACAGACCCTCATAGAACTTAAATGAAGTTATTCACACCTCAGACAGGCATAGATGGAAAAAATTGAACATGTGGAGTTATGAACATGTGGAGTCTCCCTCACTGGAGATATCCAAGAACCATGTGGACACAATCCAGTGCCAGGTGCTCTGGGATGGTCCTGCTGGAGCAGGGAGGTGGGACCAGGTGACCAACTGTGCTCCCTTCCAACCTTAACCACTGTGATTCTGCAGTGTGACTTGATCTTTGTAAGTTTTCTCAGGAAGGATCTAAATATCTGCAAACATCCAGCATTAAACCAGTTTGAGCTAAATGAACCTGTGCTCTGCTGCTGTGCATAATTTTTTCCCCTCAAGAACATCCAGAGCACCCAACTCACTCACTGAAGTTCTCCCTTCCACCGTCACTGGGTAAAGGGAAGGATGTGCTATCATTAATCCAAAACTACACACACCTTCTGGCTGGCCACTGGCAAAAACATATTAGATCTTAAAATTTAGATCTGAATAGATAATGAATACATAATGATTGAGCTTTCCTCACCTTTCTATTCTGTGCAGAAAATAATTGCTGCTCATCCTTGTCCTCTATCCTGACCAAAAATTTTTATGAACTCAGTTTTGGTACTGCTCTGTGTCTGTCAAAAAAGAAGTCAAGTACGGCTAAAGGATTAAGGTGATACTAAATTAAAGATTTAGGAAAATAAGACAAGCAAAAATCTTGGTCACATAAAGCTTGTGTCTTTAGCAATTATGGCTAAAACTCCTAGACAATTTTTTCCTATGAAAAATTTAAAGTATTTTCACAAAGCATAACTGGATAGGAATGAAAGTCAAGTTTTAAAAAGAGGGTGATAGGAACTAATTTAGAGAGACCAAATTGTGCAGTTCATATTTTGCAGAACATAGCACATGGGAATATAATACAAGCTACTAGAATTAAAACAGAGTGCTGAAAAATGCAACAGCACAAAAACAGTGATAGAAATCCACACTGTTCAAAACAGCATTCCTGAATTTTGAGAATTTGTAAAAAAGTAGGTTATCAACCACATGTATTATATAAACCTGCGTTAAACCACAACACTAGGCAGAGAAGAAGCATATGTGTAAGTATGCAAATCATTTATTACTGATATTTAAATAACTTCCCCCTCTGAAATTCTGCTGTATCAAAGCCAGACAAAATCCACAAACTCCAAAGCTTGCCAATTTGTCTCCCACGCTTGGATGCAATGCATTTTCAGTAATAATTAACTTCAAAAACACTGATTTCAGTCACCAATTACTTGAATGTGGACCTAAACTGAGAAAGACATGATTCTCACCCTTAACAAAACACATAAAGCTATAATCTCCATCCCCTCATCATGCAGATAATTGACGAGACAATGGGGACAGTAACACCGAGGCAACACAGGAGCCAGGTATGGCTCAAAAGGCTTGGGCTCTACTTAAACATCTTCCCTGTAAAACGGACTTTTCAGCTCTTTTAAGGATGCTGTGCTAGGCAGAACTCGGTGAAGCAATACTGACATCGAGTGGCTTGGCCCGGTATTTCCCTTTGGCTACGCTGCTGTGACATGGTGGGTACTGAACTATATTGTCCACTACGGTGGATAATATGAACTATATAGTTTATTAACACAGTTAGTTGAAAATCAGATATCTGTAGCATAAAAAAAAGCTTTGCTCCCTAAATTTCCAATGTGTTTACTGGCCAGAAATTTGACAGGAGGTCAGCTGATTGATCAGCAGGATACTGAACCATGGGATGTCCTTATGCTCAGGATCAGTCTGCTCTGTGCAGGGAGTGTAGAATAGGCAAAAAAAAAAAAAAAAGTCATAGTGCTACCATCCTGCCGATGAGATCCTCTGATCCTGATGAGATTAGCTGTCTGCTAATAAATTGACATACAGGTGCTAATGAAAT